CTTTCCCATTTTTTATTTATTAGACAAGCAGGACAAAGTTAACGGAAATCAAACAGAAAAAGTGACAGACGTGATGGACGTAAAACCGAAAATTACAAACAAAAGCTATTTTCTCTCGTTTTTATAGATTAAAGGCTAAAACGGTTATATTATAATGTGAGGGGTTAAACCGTCCAACTTATCAAGGTAAAGAGCTATTTTTAAGCTTTTGCCTATAAATATGTAGCTCAATTGTAGCGCGGAGTAAAAAATAAGGGGCACAACCATTTAATGTTTTTTAGGTTGTATTTGAGAACTTGAATTTGAATTTGATAATTATAATTAAAATATATGTATTTGAAATATATATATTTAAAATACATTGTTCGGATAATTTAGAATACTATACAATTAAAATTGAATTTCTCTATTAAATTAAATCTTCTTTTAATTATTATTTAAATTTAATAAAGTCGAAGTTAACAATTTTAATCTTTCAAAACATTATTTAAATTACCTCAAGACAAACAAATTGGATAAAAAAAAAAAAGGAACAATGGCCTCCACTAATCAATTTGTCATCATTTGGCAAGGAAAACTTCTTAACAACTGCAATTTAAAGGTCTATAGAAAATTAGATGAATTTGCTTTCAATTTTCAATGCTCAAAGCTGAACATAAGCTCAGATAAAGAATAAACGGCATACTCAAAATCATCTGAAACAGTCAACTACTGTATTAATGATCAGCATAAAACACAAAACTTGAGCATACATTTCTGAGTAATAGAATCACTTAACAGACCAAAACAACAGTATCTTTAAATTAATTATTAAACAATGCTCAAATGGAAGTCTGCTGGATTACTAAGTTATAGCTTAAAATGAAAATTCTAAACATTAGCTATAACATAAGATTTCTCTTTTTTAATGTTCCATCCTAATTCTCTCAGTAACTCAATCTCAATAACCACTCTCAGAGAATGAAGAGAATGAAGAATAAAGTCAATAAACTAATCACACATTTTCTGCACACTAATACAAACAAATGAGAGAAAAGAAAGTAAAAACTCTTGACTCTACAATAGCTTCATTTTATCCACTCTAATACTTAAGATTCGCCTCCCTCCTCTCCAACATACCATAATGTAGCAAAGTTTTATCAACTCTATAGAGACGGGTAGAGCCACCCACCTAAAGACATCTACACTAGCTCTTCACACAAATTTTGAATTAAAGCTTTTTGAAGGACAGTAACTGTGCAAGAAAAGAACTATCCATAATTCTACATCCCATTAGCATTAACCAAGCAGCAAATGTGCAAGAAAAACAAAGATTTGTGAACAACAAAAGAGGAAAACTCTCAAAGACAAAAACCCAATTTCAAATCGAACAAAAATAAAAAATAAAAATAAAATCCCAATTGATTTAAGTCGCAAAATCTTAGCATTAACAGATGAAACAATAGCAACAAAGAGTTATTAGGGTTAAGGAACAATTACCAAAAAACATATTAAAAACCCAAATCCAAAAATCCAAAATCCTAAACAAAAATTAGAAGAACAAAAGGCTTCCCAATTGAGCAATCAAAGAGGAGAAGAAGGGGGTGGGGGGGGGATGGGGGTACTACTCACATAGATATTGAGTTACCTAACGAAGCTAGAGAAATTGCTGTGCTTGAAGTACTTAGGCAGCAACTGAACGCAGAACTGAGTCCGGTCCCAAACAACAAAACTATCAATGTTTTCACGAGTGGAATTGCTCGAGTCAAAGTAGTTTGAGACAGGAGTATTGGAACGCAGTTATAATTCGGTCTGAGGTTGTCTTTTGGAACCGTGTCTGTATCAGCTTTTGTTGATATTGCTGAAACCGCATCTTTGATTGATTTCCAGATGTACATGAAAGACCAAATTTTGCTTGATATTTGGATCATTGAATTGCAGTCCATATCATTCGACTGTTATAATCATGGGCAGTTTTTCAAGGCAAGATAAGAGACTAGTTTTGTT